CTAGGTATCTTACAACAGTGTGTGTGTGTGAGTCTAGGGTCTAGGTATCTCACAACAGTGTGTGTGTGTGAGTCTAGGGTCTAGGTATCTCACAACAGTGTGTGTGTGTGTGTGTGTGGGGGTCTATTATTCTGCAAGTTGAGACATTAAAATAATTATAGTACATATAAACCCTTGTTGGTAAGTTATACAACAACCAATTCCTTTTGAATAACAGAGCCATTTACTTATTCCTTTCCTTTAAAAGGATTGAAAGAAATAGTAGATTTGCAAGTTTCGTTGCTACTGATTTTATTAAGTAATTTTTTCTTATTAATCTTTCTCGACAATTTTAAGTTCTTACTATTTAGCATTAGTTTGACCTTTGGAGAAGACAGCGTTGTAGGATATTACAACTCATCTACAGAATGACGTTCTCTCGTTTTCATGCTATGATAACCAGAAAAGCTCCACCACTATACTTAGTTTATATTTTAATATCTGGCGATTATAATAATGAATCACTACTTGCTTCAGAGCTGTAATAATACAGATGGTTTTTACTCTGTCGAGTTAGACATGATTTTAACTTTCCACGCTGCTAAATCCTAACTTATGAAGATGAATGACTAGGCTTAAAACAATGAACAAAAGAAAATGACATATAATGATACATACATCGACCGTACACTTTATTAAAACTCCCCTCCTCTCTCACATTCATGCGTACAACATCCATTTATTTAGCCGTACATATTATAATTAGTCTACAAAATAACTGGTTACGGCAAGGATCCCCCGATTTTCCAAAGGGCAATGTATTAAGATATCGTCTAACAGAAGCGTTGTTATCACAAACCTTTTCTCTGAATGCATTTCAAAAGTAATCTGTCAGCAGGGTTTGCCAATGTGGCAATCTAAAGGAAACTTTCTGACCACAAACTATTTGGGCAGGCTTGAAAAGTGCAAAAGACGTAAGACGGTGCCCTTAGTGACCTGTTCCGGTCACAGGAGCTAGGATTAAATTACCTCTGACCGTACCATGAGAAAGATGCAAAAAATTATACATGGCAGGAAACAACCATTTATTTTAGATGCAATTAAGAAATCACGATTTCAGTGGTTTTTACAGTGTAAAATGAGTACAATGAATGAATGGAAGCCAATGATGTGCTTTGGGGAGTTTCGTTTTACTCGCGTGAGGCACTGACCCCGTTTACAAGGATAATGTATCCACCACGTTCATCCCACAATGCTGCGTTTCAACCCCGATGATCAGAAGCTCTTCCAAGATGATAATGCACGAATCCACCATGCTCTATTGTCCAATATTGGTTTGGAGAGCATGACAGTGACTCTGATCATCATCCTTGTCCAAAACAGTCAACGAATATCTACCGAACTGATTATCTTTGGGATAAACTTGAATGTATATTCACCATAGTAATTCGGTGCTGCTAACTGTACACCATAATCCTCCACGAATGAGCTACTATCTAACAAGACACTTTCCTGTATCTTGCGCTACGTAAAGTGTAAGCTATTATCGCGGTTAAAGGTGGTGCCACCCGACAGCTGGTAGGTGTTCTTATAAATATGACCAACATATCACACAACACCTCACACATAAAAGGTAGCTTAAATCAAGATTAAATAAAACTGGTGCAAATCTCACCTTGTACTGATCCACTTGTCCCGTGAAAGCATCTTCAGGTATAGAATAGTTGAAAAGTTTCCCTATAGTCGCAGTGGTGTCTGGTACTCCCCAAAACCTCTTTACCTCCACGTCTTTCTTCGGCAGATTCTGGGGTCTATTGAAACTCCCTGCTTTAGTAGCGTTCACCGATACACACGTCATGCACAATAATGCTGGGATTATTAAGACTATCATCTGTATACTCCTGTAACACAAGTTCTTTGGCAACATGGACCTGAGGAGGTTAAACGGTAATTTCATACTAGTGAAATATGTGGTAGAGTTGATAAACCAACACCACAGGTTATCTGCTGTGTCACACACGATACGTTCAATGAACCTTCTTCGTCAGAGCATGTTCATGAAATTGTTAAGCAAGTTGATTATAATCATTCCTGAAAAAAAAGGAAGTGAAATCCTATGTCATACATTATTTAATACAATAACTTTTATGTTGACAAACACACAGTGCGTTTCTCAAAGACAAAATTAGACAATTTCACATGCACGTCTTTTTATGCACATTCAATTACACACTAATACATACATTAAATATATTCCTATAAGAATAATGTTACGTTGTGTGTTAGCGTCAATACACGTCCACGAATTATCTTAATTGAGCCAATGACAATTCATATAATGTTTTCACCTTCAACACAAATATGAATTTATAAACTTGCTAGTTTTCTCTTAAACGGTAGACGATGACATATCGCACTAAAAAAATTTTTTTTGGTAAAGAAACTCAAGTAACTCCATTCAACTGAACAGAAACTTGTATATCTTACAATTATTACAGCTACTGGTGGGACTAACATTCCTGAATACATAGTACCAAACTTACTGTGAATCATGGATTCGCGCTAGTACACAGAAAATCTTGAATTTACGTCATTTTACAAATCAAGTTGATTAATTCATTTTAACTCTGCACTACATGATTGATCTTGAAAAGAATTATCTGGTAATCTTAAAAACCGTCAAACACGATATCGTCGAAATTAGCAATACAATTAACAAAGAAGCTGACAACGATATATGAATAATTACGTCTACAGACGTCATGGATTGTCGTAATTAAAAATTAACTTTCCTGATCTACACACTCCTTAATTTACCAAGTTATTAAGATATGTGCCAAGAGTTTACATCGTATCAACGAACTGTCTTGATTTTACAAGAAATATGAAGTTTGTGTTTCAGTTGGAAAACGTAGGTGTCTGTGAAGAAAAATTTTAAATCTCGTACTTGTCGTTTTCTTATTAGTTAATCTCAGATAACGTTTTCATTGTTGATTTATTAAATATATAAAATACTCAGTTACTATGGTAGGACCACCCAGGTTTTTCTGATCACACGATTATTAACAAAATTCACAAATGTAAAACGTTCAATCATTTTTAATACTGTAATCAGACAGTGTGAAACAAAACGACAACGAGATTTTAAAAGTGGCACGTCTCCCTCTCCTAGAGCGACAAACAACATAAACCGATAGAGTGAACTTATTTCAACTTTGACACAAAAAAAGTATTTTGGCTTTAATACTGAAATCAAGGTAAAAACGTGGAAACAAAAAAAGTCTGCGATCAATAATTTTAACCTTTTACACAGATATACTACGATTACTCAAAGCGTCGAATTTAACAAGTTTCTCTTGCTATTATCTAACAAAAGTAATAACGATTACACCCTACGCGCATGATTTACTATAGCTACTAGAAAACGAGCAAACTAGTGTCAAATACCTATATCGGGGGGGGGGGGCAACCGCCGTTTTGCGGGCCACGTGCGGGTCCACAGTGGTTACAGTATGGTTCCTTGAATACATATTTTATCCATTCCCTTTACCGCTTTATACAATATGGCAGATGTAGTATGGTTGGCATATTAGGACTTATTATCCTTTGCTTTGACTCATAGGTTATTGTTTGGTTGTAATTAAGCACAATGGGCTAGCTGTGCTCTGCCCACCACGGGTATCGAAACCCAGTTTCTAGCGTTGTAAGCCCGCAGACATACCGCTATGCCACTGGGGAGCTCATGGGTTCTTATAATGTCGTATGGCATTGCAACATGCTCCAAAAGTCAACTGATTTCTGACCAGTTCAGTTCTGCTTGTACAATTAATGGTTAAGTGCCAGCAATAACACAAATGCTTACTCCATTTTTTTAACGTATGTGTCTACTTGTCGGTTACAATTTAGATATTTTTGCTCTTAAGCTTTATGAGGTTGAATACCTGACCTATATAACCAAACTGAGTCAATACAAAGCATACAAAACCTGTATTTTGCCTAATTAAAAAATTACCTGAAATTAGTTTTTAAAGCAATTATCACTAACACTAATAGACTCAACGCTGGGTAATATAAGCCCTCCTACTCCCTGTTTTGGTACATTGCACAAAATAACAACAATCTAAGAAGAGAAGGGTGGGAAGGGAATAATAAAACAATATCAACAGTGTCACCTTTCTTGACATTTTGGACATCTGATGAAGAAAAGTGGATGACAGAAACAGGAATCAAATGCCAATTTACTACTAGTAACAAGACAGTTTATGGTTAAATTTTAACAGGTTGTACCAACAGGAAGTCAGGCGATTCGGATAAGAAAGCAGGTTTGTCAGAATTGTTTCTAGGGGAGTGTGTGACAAACTACATTCTAGAGTTGCTTCGGGCAATTCAGATTACTTTTGATGTGCTTCGCGATTGGTTATCTCATTTATGAATGCTTTCACTCATTCGAAAATATATATATATTCATGATTTATACAAAAAAACTAGACAAGTTATTAAATCTTACATATACCTATAACGATAACTTAAGTTGCTTTTAATAAAGCATACATGTTGAGAAATACGTTATATCACTTAAAGAATGGTTCCATCTTCCTACATAGGCAACCAAAACACTAGAAAGGCCAAGAAAATGCGTTATGTCTCTCCATCCACTTATTCTCAGCGTACAACATATTTAAAAAGATAATGGTATTCAAGGCAGAGGAAGTGGACATAAACGGCAAGGTATCTACTTCAAAGGGATATACACCTAACACAGTATCAATTTGAGACATATCTGCGAGAAAAATGTATATTGAATATACTAAACTGGGACCTTATAATACATAAGACAGTTTTTGTATAAACAGATTTAGTAACCATGAAAACTTTATAAGTAAGTTTTTAGCAAATAAGATATATTTTGTGTGTGTGTGTGTGTGTGTGTGTGTGTGTGCAATTCCATGCAAAACACTTAATAACAACCCTTATAACAATAAAAAGGATAACGATACTTAAGATAAATAACACTGTTTATTTATAACAGAATGGGACACAGACTAACGTCTCGGAATTCAACAGATTCCATCTTCAGTATCTAAAGCAAAATAAAATCATTATACAATTTCTAAGTAAGTAACTGAAATACACAACTATAATAACCGTAATTTAATCAAAACTACAACAACATAAAAATTAAATGAGTAACAAACAAAATACTGTACATATTAGAAAATGTACAATTTAAACGAAGACTGCATGTTGTTTGTCTTTGTCCCCTTGTGATATAAATAAGCAATGTTGTTTATCTTAAGTATCGTTATCCTTTTTCTTGTGGAACTTCGTTTTCCTCCGAACATGCCAACTGCTAAAACCCGTATAAGGTTTACATATGTAGACAGTGCCTCAAAGTTCAAAGCTCCCTATTCAATACATTGCTATTTTTCATTTTACCTTTGACGCATTTAAACTCGCACGAAAAGCACAAATGTTTTCTTATATCTATTACAATTAGTCATTCTGTGTTTATTGAACTTTAGTGCACTTTTAACAATAGACGTCTTACATAGTTGAAAGTCATTATTTTCAAACAATACACCTTTTTTAATATCTTATTCTCAATTTTCTCTTTTTGTGTGTGTCCAAATGATGATAAAATGATTACTGTGATAATCTAAAAAAAATTATTTACACCCTTTTCCCAGTTTTCTCTTACAATTAATTAAGTAATTGAAATGAATTACACATTAAAACCTTTCTAGGAGTTCCAAAATATATCACGTGAAAACTATTAAAAGTTAAACATACCATCAGAAAACGCACCTCAGTTGCCTTCAAAGATACTTTTTTTTTATGTAGAAATTCATAAGCAAGATTTGAATCATTAAGCGGGCGTTAAAGAAACCCCTCACATTATACAAGAAAAGTGAAAAAAAAAATGAGCATGCTTACCTACAGGCCACAAGGTATCCTAATTTGATAATATTATGAATCTATTTAGAGGAAGGGGAAATGGGAGTGCTAAGATGTCGAAAAAAAGTGGTTAAGCCTAACGTGGCCTAGTTGTAGTAACAGAGTGCATTTATCTTTAACAGCTGCGTCACGACTTATCATCATACCAGACAACCAGACGCAAATACTTTAACACAATCAGGCGCGGTGCCAATTGCCAGGAAAAGAATCAAGGTGTGCATTTCGTTTTCACTTGTGCCGAACGTTTATGAGTTTTAGCAACTGTGCTGAAATCCTTTAGAATTATTTGATACTATTACAAGCTGCACAAGTACTCTGGTTTCTAATCTAGGTATTTTGAACCAACACCTAATAGCATAGTACCTATTTTACAAGGTTTAATTTCACTGACAAAACAGTATATTACTAGGACACTATGAATCTAATTTGAAAGCGATGTAGAGTATACGAGTTTTCTTTGAAACTACGCTAATGATGGATGCCATATGCGTAACATATTTTACATTTTTACATTAAACGCAAGAATATACTATTAAAATATGACTAATACTAAAATGTAATCGGAACTGTGGGATTCAAAACATAACATAACAATATTTTGGGACAACATGGGACCTATTGGTCCATCTCGGCTGTACCATCCTAAATACTAAATTAAAATGATTAAAAAAAGATGTGGTTTCGAAGGATTAAATAACAGGCAGACTGAAACCCGCATTTCGTCACTGCCTTTCTAATTGAAACTTGAACCAATTACTGAATTCCCTCGATAATTCTTCGTTGGATTTAATTATACATAAACACACGATTTGTTATTATTTTTTTAAACTAAATCAAATAACAAACTAGTTTGTTCAATTATCTGGTAATATAAAACGCAAACATTTAATGAATATTAGATTTAAAGAGATATATTCAATTGGAATTTTAAACATTGATAACCATAGTGTAACTGGAATCTACTTCACTCTTGTAGGCATATATGGTGAAACGCCGTTTGTTACAAGATGTAGGGTAGGTTTGATTGGTTTGGATTTTCGCGAAGAGCTACATGAGGGCTATCTGCGCTAGCTGTCCCTAATTTAGCAGTGAAAGACTAACCACTAGGCCATGAAGTGAATAATACATATTGCAAG